AAAAAAAAAAAAAAAAAAGAAGGTGGAAGTTTAATTTAAAAGATGGTTATGTGAAAGATACTTTTAAAATCCTAAAAATATTTTTATATTTAATACATTAAAAATATGTCTTAAAAATATCAGGACTTATATTAAAAATATATCTCTAAATATAATATGTAGTATAATAAATATATTTAATATAAAATATATATCTATAATGTATATTATAGATATTTAGTATAAAATAAATATATTTTAAATATTAAATATATATTAAATATAAGTAATATATGTAAATAAACATAAATGAATATAATATATATTGAAAATGTATTAAAATCTCAGGACTTCATATTAAATACATCTTAAAAATATAAAGACATATTAAATATATATCTTAAAGTATATATTAAAAATAATATGTTAATAAACATACATAAATAAGTGTAATGTATATACAAATATATTAAAATCTCAGGACTTTATATTAAATATATTAAAAATATGTCTTAAAAATACCAGGACCCAGTGAGTGGAATGGTGGGGAAGGGGTGGAAGGGAAAAGAGCGGAATCAAAGATGATCCCTAGGGTTTTGAACTTGGGCAACCAGGCCATTGTTGGCCAACCTGCCCAAGGCGAGATCCCTGCCATTGACAGAAGCCTAGAAGAAAAGCTGATTTGGAAGGGAGTTTGTAATGGTAGATGTTCTTTTTCTTTTCATTTAACTAATTTCAAACTTAGAGAAAAGTTATACCGAAAGACTACTGCAAATAACTACCATATTCCCTTTGCCCAGCAACTCACTCAACTTTTGCCTAGAATCTCAGTAACGTCCTTTATAGCAAAAGGACCCCGCACAGGATCGTGCATTGTACCCAGCTGTCATGTCTTTCAAATCGCCTGTAATCTAGAGAAGTTTCTCAGTTTGCCTGTACTTTCATGGCCTTGACTGTTTTGAATATTACAGACCAGTCTGAAGGCTGTCCCTCAATTTGGATTTGTCCAATGATTCTTCATGATTAGACCCACGTGACGCATTTTTGATTGGAATATCCCAGAAGGGACTGTTCCCCTTGCATCATTAAATGGCATCCATGGTAATGTTAACTTTCATGATTTGATTAAGATTGTATCAGCCAGTTTCCTTCATGGTGAAGTTAGTCCCCCCTCCCTATCTAATTACTAAAATATTTCTCCAGGAGATACTTTGAAAGGGTGTTGGCAGGGCTGGTCACCTATGCAGTACTGAGTCCTGCACTGAGAAGGGTTTGGTTCATTTTTTTTGCTGATTTCCAGGAAGGCAGGCAGGGAGGGAGGAAGGAAGAAGGCAGGTAGGGAAGGAGGGAGAGGGGAGCAAACAGGCATACATTCAGGTTTTGATTTGTTCCATTTGAGTTACCAGGCATTAAGAGAAAAACAAACTAGGGCTAAAGATAAAGGCTGGCCCAGTACATGCACAAAGTGACTGAAATAGGAATAAATCTCTCCAAGGGCATCAGAAAGAAAACGAGGAACTCACAGGTGGGTAGAGTGTAGAAAGGGAAGCCAGTAAGGATCGAAAGGAATGCACCAGAGAGCAAGGGAAATCCATGGGTGCCCTGTTACTACAGAAACCAGAGGAAAGGGGGCTTTATGAGGGAAAGGAGTGGTCAGCTATGTCTGTGCCACAGAGAAGTGGAAAGAGATGGCTGCCCAAGGCGAGATCCCTGGCGCTAATACCTAACTACAGGGAAGGGAGGTTTGTTCGTCTGTGTATTCAACAAGCATTGGTGGGTGGGGTTAAGCACATGCTTGGGGTAGAAAGGGCGCTGCCAAAGCCGGCTTCCTGGGTGTACCACCTGCGTAGGAACACAAGGTCCTGCGTTTAGAGGTTCCCAGGCTTGGGCTCACGCTCTTAAAATTCTTATTGTTTGAGCAAATGGTCTTGCATTTTCATTTTGCACCAGGACCCTGTAAATGGGGTCCCGGTAGCTGGTCCTGGGCGATGGAGCAAGTGCAAACTCTAATTTCCTTTGTGAATCCTAGGGAATGTGGGAGGGCAATATCCTGCCCCAGTGGCAAAGTGGGGGTAAAATTTAATTTCGCTTGGCCACGTGTGTTGGCTGAGAGTCGTGAACGGTGGAAAGAGATTCCAACGCCCCATAGATTTACAGAAGCGGCGCCGGATGGGTTCAAGGCCTTGGGGTGTGATGCGTCCGACGGCCTTTAAGGGGCAACAAGACTGGAGGAAAGCAGAGGCAGGACAGCAGAGGCAAAGAAGGTGCGGGGTCGGGGTGAGGACAAGCCAGGCGCGGATACAAATCCCGGTCCGGCGCCTGGGGCCGAGCAGGGTGCGCGGGGAGCAGAGGCCGGGCAGCCACCGCGCGCTCCGCCCGGACGCCAGGCGCGCGCCCAGGCGGCGCCGCGCCTCGGATCCGCGGCCGAGCAGGACTCCGGGACAAAGGCCGAGCGGGCCGCGCGTCTGGGTGCCCTCCGCACGGCGGGGGCGCTTGCGGAGCGGGCCCTCCACCTCCCGCCGCAGGCCGCGCGCCCGGGGCGGCGCAGGGAGGCCTCCGTGGGCCCCGGCACGTCCGCGCCCCCGCCCCCCGCCGCGCGCGCCCGCGGGCTGAGCTGGCGGGGAGGGGCTCGCGGGGCTGCGGGCGCGGCTGGCGGTGGAGGCCGGCGAGCCCGGCCGCGGCCTCCGTGGTGGTGGCCGGCCGCACCGAGAGCCGTCCCGCGCGCAGCTCCCCGGGGCAGGAACGGTCGGAGCGGCGGCGTCCGCGCTCGCGGAGGGGTGGGGGGGGAGGCGGGCGTGGCAGCCTGCCCGGCCTCGGCCTCCCGAGTCCGCTTCCGGCAGCCGTGCGCCCTCCTGCGCCGCCCTCCGCACCCCTGCGCTGCTCTGCACCCTCCTGCGCCCTCCTGCGCCGCCCTCCGCACCCCTGCGCTGCTCTGCACCCTCCTGCGCCGCCCTCCGCACCCCTGCGCTGCTCTGCGCCCTCCTGCGCCGCCCCCCGCACCCCTGCACCCCCCTGCGCGCCTGGGGGCCCTGCATAGCCTTCCGGACTTTTAAGAAGGGGCTTGGAGGAAAGTCACCGGGTTCAAAGAACAGGGAAGGGAACTGAGGAGATTTGAGGTCGGTTTCTGCTCCTCCTGCCTCCACATCATAAGAGTAATAATGTGGTTACCCTATAAACTGTGGCAAATACCAAAAGACGTAAATAATTCGACCAAAAAGGAAAAAGAAAGAAAAGCACCCATAACTTCATTAGCCATAAGCAAACACTTTACATATGGGGCTATGTCTTCACATGTTGATGTGTATATTGTTTTACATTGAATTCTGTGCAAATGTTTTGGTGTTTTGTTTCTGGTGCTTAATATAAACATGTCCAACTTCCTTGAACATAGTATATTTTTAACGGTTCTATACTAACACTGAATAGCTGTACCAAAATGTAACCATTTTCAGTTTTTGAAGGTCCAAAAGACAAATATTTTTGAAGTTATTGATTCTTAAATTGTTCTCTACAAAGACTGTACAAATTTATATTTCTAGTTGCACTGAGTGGGCAATCTTAATACTCTTAGGAATATTGACCAGAGACACCAGGCCTTGAATGGGTAACCCCAACTTTCTTATGCCCCAATCCTCTGTAGAGAAAAATTCACAGCCTTTTGAGCTCAGACATTCAAACTAGCGGAGACTTTGGCCAGATCTTGTTCTTCAGTTTTCCCATCATTTCTGTTCCCCTACACCCTAAGAACAGTAGCACCCCACCCATATCTTGAAGATGAATGAGGAATCAGCCAGAAGTCTGTCTCCTAGACAGACTGCCCTCCTCTCCCAGAGAGACTCCTTCAAGGCCTTCCTCAGGAGTGCCAGCCTGCTAATAGATGCAGTGGCTCCCATGGGGTCAGGCCCATACGAAGTCAGTTTAGGTGTTAAATATTTTGTTCCTATTAAGAATCCCTTGGAGAAACAGCCTGAGTGCCTGTCAAGGGATGAATGGATAAAGCTGTGGTAAACATACAATGAAATATTACTCAGCCAGGATAAAGAAGGTGCCATTTGTGACATGTAACATGGATAGACCTTGAGGCTATTAGGCTAAGTAAGTCAAAGGCAAATACTGTATGATATCATTTATATGTGGAATTTTAAAAAAGCCAAATTCATAAAAACAGAGTAGAAAGGGGCTAGGGGTGGGAGAGTGGGGGGATTATAAGAGATATTATTTAAGGGTACAACTTGCAATTTGTAGATTAATAAGTCCTGGAGATCTAATGCACAATTATAGACAATACTGTGTCATCAGACATCAAACTTGATAAGAGACTACATCTTGATTATTTCCACCACAAATAATAAATGATAATTTTGTGATGTGATACAGGCTTAGGCAATGGTACAATGGAAACCATATTGTAATATATAAATGTATCAAATCAACATGTTATACAATTTAAACTTACAGTGTTATATGTCAAATATATACATATTTTAAAAAGGTCCCATACAGCTGGGACCATAGAGGATAAATAAGAGAGAAAAGCAGCAACATTCTGCATACAAATGACCTCACTCTCAGCCTCATCTCACAAAAATTTAAAACTTAAATGGACAAGTGCTACAATAAAGGTAAATGAAAATGCCAAGGGGGGGAAAATAAATTAAAAAGTATCCCCTGGAAAACTGAGTGCCTCTGCACTCAGGACTCTTGCAAGTCACCGTCCCAGAAGATTTATTCCCCAAGTCTGAGTGGCTGCAGGGACTCTGAATGACTTTCTGAAGCTTTGGCATTGTGTTTTAAGAATAAATAATAATAGCTACTCTGCTGAGCACTAGTTTGCATGCTCTGTGTGTTAGGTCCTAACCACCCTTTGAGGAAGGTACAATTATGGCCCTCATTTTACAGAAGAGGAAACTGAAGCACAGAGTAGTTCTTCTGAGTCCTGATACTCTGTAACTAACAGCATGGCTGGCTGGCTTTTTCTCCCCCTTGCACTTGTGGAAAGAGAGGTGTGTACTGGATGGATTCAATCATAGCACAGCACTTGGGGGTCAAAACGGGTAGGTATCAAAACTACGTTCCACGTTCACTGCTTCGGGGCTGCACCTTTGTCATCACGGGCTTCTACTCTATTCTGTCGAGTCAGCCGGCCTGCTTTCCCAGCCACATGAATTCAGCTCCCTCCTGCTGCTGTACCCGGAGGCTCCAGTTTTGCCCTTATCTTTGAAGTGTTTGCCTTGCACCTCCCATGTGGGCCACTGTTTCTGAAGACGGCTCTAGCCCTCCTTTCCAGAGAGGGCTTGCTGTTTACTTTGTCTTCCGGCTTCCTTAAGACTACTAACCATTCTCGTAACACCACTCAATCACAAAATGATTACATTTTCAAGCTAGAAGGGACCTTATCCGTTGTCTAGTCATCATTTTACAGAGAAGGTACTCTGGCCACTCTGCTACTTGAGTCACAAGGCTAAGACACAGGTGTCCAGCACTCTTTGCTGAGCCTCTGGTCACTGGCTGTGGCCACTGATCACTGGAGCCTTGACTCCAGGCTCCCCCATACTGGCATCACCAATAAGAGCAGGTAGCCCCCCCATCCAATGCCCTGAGGTTGAGCAGAGGTCTCTGTCTCTTGGCTACTCAGGACGATTGCTTAACCAATCCTGAAATCTTGAGCAATGTGAATTTTGCCTGTATTAATTCTGCAAAATATCCTGATGAACTTTTTTTATGGGTCTTTATTGATTGAACATCTGACCCTTGGCAATGTGGCAGGGAGAAGAGCAGGTACAAAGAAGGAGCTTTCAAAAATCCTACTATATCACGCAGAAAGAACTAAGTCTTAAAGGTCTCCAAAGCCCAAGTCTTAGAGCTTCCTTAGAGCTGGCAAGAGGTTTACTTTATTTTGTTTGTCAAATGATTTCAAATGTATTTTAAAACAGCACAAACATGTAGCATATTCACATCTTTCCAATTTGTTGTCAGGGTTGGGTTTTTTTTTTTTTAATAGTACTGTTTGTGTTGTATTTTTATGTAATTTATATATTGTTTCGATTCTGCAATTGGCTTTCCTTCCTTTCTCTCAAGTATCATATACATACAGAGAGATGCAGATGTCAAGTGTAGAGCTTGGTGAATTTTCCCGACCTGAACACACCCCGTTACTTGCATTTCTCAAGAAACATTCCCAACATCACAGAAGCCCTCTGTGCAGAGCTTTTAGTTGTTGTTCTTTCTTCCCTCTTTTCAGAAATTTGGCAGATGTGAAAATGGATTTTAATTTTACTTAAAGATGTCACATTCCCCAACTTCTTAACATACAGAAAGTGTACAATAGAAGAAACTTTTCTTTCCTTCCCACTCTTACGAAGTCAACTTAAAATCAAGTGCATTAAAAACATTGACTTTTTAGGGAAAGTCTGAGGGTAGGTTGGAGATTCACAAACGTTTAAAAGTGGAAGACCTTGCAAAGAGGAGGTGAGAGTCAACATGTACCGCCAAGGGGCAGATCTGGACCTGGAGCCCAGGCCTCCCAATAACGCACCATTATTCTTTCTTTGTTAAGGTTATGCAAATAACCACAACTGAGAGTGGAGAGGTGGGAGGCAGAGAGACTTCCGGAACATTTCCTGTGGATAGCTGAATAATAACACTGTGGGGGACTGTAAACGAAAGTGCAGGGGGTTCCCCCTCTCCCTTCTGGAGAGAGCTCTGCTGCCCTCTAGTTGCTCCCTGATGTGGTCTCTAACAGGTCCCTTCTTACTATGGTTCCCAAACTGTGCGAAGACATGCCAGGGCGTTGCAGGAAATTCATAGGGGCATCTTGAGATATCTTACATTTTTGAAGGAAACACAGGGAGACCTGACATCTATCGCATACTGCATGACAATGAAAGGAAATCCAGTTTCCACATTAGATGGTATTACATTCCTTGTGAAGACATCCTGCCTTTATGGAGTTGGGTTTTTGGTGGATACTGTGTTAAAAAGAAAATTGATGGGGGAAAGGTAATGAAGGTGGGTGTGTGCAGTCTGATTCCAGAGTTTGAGAAGTGCTGTGCTCCACTGGTGCACAAATTTCATCAGGAAGAAATTGTAGTTATTTAAGAATAAAAGAAAAATATCAATTTGTTTCAGTGTACATGTACTGTTTTTGCAAACAACCACTAAATTGTTAGGACACAATTATGTATTAAATAACTACTTGAGAAATGGACCCATTAGGTATTTCTTTTGGTCTGGGGTCTTTGTGAACCCTTGCTTTAGATGTAGC